CTGCTGCTGCTGCTGCTGCTGCTGCTGTTATTGCTGCTCATATTGGCGGCCGACCCTGCTGCGGCCCTAAAGTCTCTGCAGCAGCTGCTGCTGCTGCTGTTGCTGCAGCAGCTGCTGCTGCTGTTGCTGCAGCTGCTGCTGCTGCTGTTGATGCAGCTGCTGTTGATGCAGCTGCTGCTGCTGTTGCTGCAGCTGCTCCTGTGCTTTTGCTACAGCTGTTGCTGTCGCTGCAGTTGTTGCTGCTGCTGTTGCTGCTGCTGTTGCTGCTATTGCTGCTGATCTTATTTGCCGCTGGCGCGGCTCTGAAATTTCTGCAGCAGCAGCAGCTGCTGCTGCTGCTGCTGCTGCTGCAGCTCCTACTCTTGCTGCAGCTGTTGTTGCAGCGTTACTGCTGCTGCTGCTGCTGCTGATGCTGCTGCTGCTGCTGATATTGCTGCTGATGTTGGTGGCCGACCCTGGTGCGGCCCTAAATTATATGCAGCATCTGCTGCTGCTGCTGCAGCTGTTGCTGCTGCAGCAGCAGCAGCTGCTGCTGCTGTTGCAGCAGCTGCTGCTGCTGCTGTTGCTGCTGCTGCTGCTGCTGCTATTGCTACTGATATTCATAGCCACTCATCATGTGGTTTTAAAGTCTCTGCAGCAACTTTTGCTGCTGCTGCTGCTGCTGCTGCTGTTGCTGCAACAGCTGCTGCTGCTGTTGCTGCAGCAGCTGCTGCTGCTGTTGCAGCTTCTGTTCCGGCTGCTGCTGCTGCTGCTGTTGCTGCTGCTATTGCTGCTGCTGTTGCAGCTGCTGTTGCAGCTGCTGCTGCTGCTGCTGTTGATGTCCCTTCTTAATGCGCCCCTAAAACTCGTCGCAGCAGCTGTTGCTGCTGCTGTTTCTGTTGCTGCTGCTGCTGCTGCTGCTGCTGTTGCTGCTGCAGGGGTCTTTTGCTGCTGATCACTTTGCAGCAGCAGCAGCAGCAGCAGCAACAGCACCCGCTGCAGCAGCAGGAGAGGCGCTGCACTTCTCTTTTCTTTTTTTTTGTTTGTTGTCTTTTGTGTATATACAACAAAAAAAAACAAAAGTAAATAAATACATGCATAGTATTCGTCCTGCTGCTGCTGCTGCTGAGGGTGTTGCTGCTGCTGCTGCAGTTGCTGCTAGACGCGCAACTGCGTTTTGCTGCTGCTGCTGCTGCTGCTGCTGCAGGTATCTCAGCTGTTGCTGCTGATGCAACAGCATTACTTGCTGTTGCTGCTCCATTTGCTGCTGCTGCTGCAATTGCTGCTGCTGCTGCTGCTGCTGCTGCAGTTTCTGCTGCTGCGGTTGCTGCTGTTTCTCCCGTTGCTGCTGCTGCTGCAGCATTTGCTCTTTCTGCTGCCGGGTGTATACAAAGCCTGCAAAACCCTAAACCCTAAACCCTAAACCCTAAACCCTAAACCCTAATTTAGGGTTTAAGGAGACATATGATGGTGTTCAGGTATAGATAGGCGTGCTGGGTATGTACAGCTAGCTAGTATAGAGGCCCCCAACAGAATAAATAAACAACCAAAAATAAAAACAAAAATTTCGTTTTTTTTTAATTCTTTATATAAACAAATACCCCATAAACCTGAAAATAACACCGCTCCTTGTTTTGTTGGATATGCAACCTAAAAAAAAAAAAAAAAAAAAAAAAAAAAAAAAAAAAAAAAAAAAAA